AAAATGAAAAATAAAAAGGGCTGGGATGTGGCTCAGTGGTTAAGTGGCCCTGGGTTCAATTCCTGGTACCAAAAAAAAAAAAAAAAAAAACAACTCTAAAAAGGGCTGGAGATGTAGTTCAGTGGTAGAGCACCCCTGGGTTAAATCTCCAGTGAAGAAAAAAAAAGTAGCTTGGAATTAAAAGAAACCACTTAAGCAATAAAGTAAAAAGGATCCAAGTCTCAAGATAATAATGGAATGGGAATGTTTTCAAAGGGAAAATAAGTACAGGAAACATTTCTCTTAACATATAGAACATGTAGTCCTTTACCAATTAAAATTGGGAAAACGAACCTAAAATAAGAGAAGATCAACAAGTGACATCAGCAACATTGTAGAAGCAGCAGCTCTGGTTCTCCGTCCACCCACAAGTGCATCACATAAAAACTCTACTCATGGGATCAATTCCCTCTGAGAGAAAGCTGGAGTAGCTGTTTGCTCCTACCCACTGGGCAATTTGAGAAAACAATCACATGTAAGAGAGGACAGGAAAAGAAGAGGAACATGAGGCCAGGAGCCCAGCTCTAGGCACAGCACCTAAAACTGGAAAAGTAATCCCCAACATTCTGGCTTCTCCCTATGGATTAGAGGATTTGGGCTTCACACTGGGAGCAGAGGAGAATACACACCAAGTTTCTCCAGATCACAGGGGAAAAAAGCAACAGACTTAAACAGAGCACAGTACTTCCAAGGACTTCATTCCCCAGGAGCAGTGTAGAGAGGTTACTTAAAAAACAATCCATTTTCCCCTTACATCAAGCATCTAACTTTACAGCTAGGAAGTTTAGGGACTACATCCTAAACCTCCTAGCTCTGGAAGCAGACTTTCTTATGTGCATTTTTAGACCATGGGAAATGGGGGTAAAGTGGTGATTTTATACAGGCACACAAGCACTTTGAAGAGCTTCTTTTCCCAGGAGCAGTGGGGGAAGGAGGGGGTAAAAAGCAAATCCTATTTCTCCTGTGAAGGACTCTATGTAGGCATCAAATGCCCCAACTTTAACAACTACCTCCCCAAAAGACTCCATTCTAAATCTCTTAACCTTTGTGAATAGAAAAAAACAGGCATGTACAAGTCTCCCTAGGTCAGAGAACAGAGGTGATTTTAAGTGAGCAAAAGGGCAGAGTGACCAGCAAAAGTCATGCCTGACCAATTTGATGATATATATATTTGGGGGAGGGTGGGTACCAGGGATTGAACTCAGGTGCACTAGACCACTGAGCCACATCCCCAGCCCTATTTTGTATTTTTTTTAAATTTATTGTTTAGTTGTAGTTTGTTTTATTATTTTTACGTGGTGCTGGGGATTGAACCCAGGGCCTCACATGTGCTAGGCAAGCACTCTACTGCTAAGCCACAACCCCAGCCCCCATTTTGTATTTTATTTAGAAACAGGGTCTCACAGAGTTGCTTAGTACCTCATTGTTGCTGAGGCTGGCTTTCAACTAGCAATCCTCCGTTTCAGCCTCCCAAACTGCTGGGATTACAAGCAGGTGCCATCACACCCGGCCTTGATGATATATTTTTAAATATTTTAAAATTAAGATTTCTGGGGCTGGGGATATGGCTCAAGCGGTAAAGTGCTCACCTGGCATGTGCACGGGGCGCTGGGTTCAATCCTCAGCACCACATAAAAATAAAATAAAGATGTTGGGTCCACCAAAAACTAAAAAATAAATATTAAAAAAATTTAAAAAAAAAAAGATTTCTTAATTGTCAGGAAATAGCCTATAATATCTCACAATCATTATTAATTTGTTTAATTATTCACTAAAATAAGCAAATATCCATCTACAACTACAAGAAAATAAAAAGAAAGAAAGAAAGAAAGAAAAGAGCCTGGGGCTGTGGCTCAGTGGTTAAGACCTCTGGATTCAATCCCTGGTACCAAAAACAACAAAAAAATAAAGAAGTGTGGGAAAAGTATATAACATTTTGTTTTTTGTTTTGTTTTGTTTTTGTAATGCTAGAGATTGAACACAGGGCCTTCAGCATTCTAGATATGTACTGTACCACTGATCCCAGTCCAGAAGTACAAAATATTTATGTGTGCGCACATGTCTAAATATAATACCATATAATATACAAACACACATATACATATATATGCACTAGGTGGTCAAAAACAGTGGTTTTTGACTCAGTGGTTAAGTGCTTGCCTAGCATATGCAAGGCCCTGGGTTCAATCCCCAGTACTGCAAAAAGTAAAAGAAAAACCAAAAAGAGGTTAAAGGGGAAAAGCAAAAAGGTCAAAACAGAAATGATTATAGAAATTATTACCAAAATAAAAATTAAATTTGTATTCTACAAAACACATGTACTACTTTCTACCTGTGTACATAAGAGATTTTGGTTATACAGTGCTTTTTATTAGGTGATTAAACTTTACAAAGCTGTTCATATTACAAAATGAAGTGAGCAAAACTCTGTCCTTATCAACCTGAGGCTATCATTTAATCTCTTCAAAATAATCTTGGGGCTGGGGTTGTGGCTCAGCAGTAGAGTGCTTGCCTAGCGTGTACAAGGTCCTGGGTTCGAACCTCAGCGCCACATATAAATAAATAAATAAATAAATAAATAAATAAATAAAGGTATTCTGTACAATAAATATTTAATAATAATAATAATCTCATTGGCATTTTGAGAAGCAGTGGAATACAATCTCTGAAGTCTCTTCCTAGCCTCATATTCTATGAAAGAAACATTTTTAAAAGGCTATTATAAACCCATGCACTAGCACATACCTGTAGTCCCAGAATTCAGGAGGGTGAGGCAAGAGGATTTGAGTCCAAGAGTTCCTAAGACAAGTCTGGGGTACAGACTACAGACTCAAAAAAAAAAAAAAGGGACTGGGGATGTGGCTCAGCGGTAGCGCGCTCGCCTGGCATGCGTGCGGCCCGGGTTCGATCCTCAGCACCACATACCAACAAAGATGTTGTGTCCGCCGAGAACTAAAAAATAAATATTAAAAAAAAAAAATAAAAAATAAAAAAATAAAAAAAAAATAAAAAAAAAAAAAAAAACCTACCAAGTAGTTTAGTTTTTGTTTTATTTGGGGTTTTGTTGTTGTTATTGTTTTTTGTATTGAGTATTGAACCCAGAAAATAGCCTATAATAACATCTCACAATCATTAATTTGTTTAAATATTCACTAAAAAAGAAACAAGAGTCATCCTTAAACATACTAGAGTGTTTACTACTGAACCACGTTCCCAGCCCTTTTTATTATTATTTTTTAACTATTTATATTTTAGTTACAGGTAGACAAATTATCTTTATTTTATATTTATGTGGTGCTGAGGTTCGAACCTAGTGTTTCACACATGCCAGGCAAGTACACTACCACTGAGCCACAGCCCCAGCCCCCTTTATTTTTTGAGACAGGGTCTTCACTGAGTTGCTTAGGGCCTTGTTAAGTCTCTATTGCTAAACCAGCCCTTGAATTTGTGATCTTCCTGCTTCAGCCTCCCAAGATGGTGAGATTACAGGTGTGTCCCATCCCCAYCACATCCAGCCCTTTTTAAAAATTTGAGGACCTCATTAAATTTTCCTGGATGGTTTGAAACTTGCAGTTCTGCCTCAGCCTCCCACGTAGCTGGGATTACAGGTGTGGGCCACCACACCATTTGTGCTACCTTTCCTGTATTATGGAATCTCAACCTGAAGGGTGTTAGATTTCATCTAACACTCAAAACCAAGAGACAACCRGAACTTCAGGTTTATAAGTGGTTCAGAGTGTCAATAGAAAGTTTGCTTTCTTTTGTCTAAAATAAGCACACTCCAAAGGATAGAGAGAGAGAGAATTGGAGAATTGAAAGTGTGTCCTCCCAAAAACTTGTACATGAATGTTCCATAACAGAATATTCCTTAAATGCCAAAAAGTAGAAACAGCTCAAATGTCCATCAACCTGATGGATTAAAAAAATGTGTTATGTCAACATAATGGATTAATTTTGCCACAAAAATGAATGAGGTAAAGCTGGGGTGGAGTGGAGTGGTGCACACCTATAGTCCCACCTATTTGGGAAGCAGAGGCAGAAGGACTGCAAGTTTGAGGCCAGACTTAGGAACTTAGCAAGCCCTATCTCAAATAAGGACTAGGGCTGTCTGTAGCTCAGTGGTATAATGCTTGCCCTAGTATGCATGAGGCCCTAGGTTCAATTCCCAGTACCAAAAAAATAAAAAGAAAGAAATGAACTATTAATATATACACTACAACATAAGTGAACCTTAAAAACATTATGTTAGGGGATACCAGGATACAAGCTTTGGCCCCCTTCTTCCTCCCAGGAGAAGTCTATGTTACCCCTTTTTTAAAAAAAAAAAAAAAAAAAAAACCTGCTTTATAAGCTTAAAAAAATTATGCTAAATGAAAAAAAAGCCTGGCACAAAAGTTTCAGATTTATATGAAATGTCCAGAAGAAGCAAATTTACAGACAAAATGTGTATTAGTGGTTGACAAAGGATTGGGGAGGGCAGAATGAAGAGAGTTAGCTTTCTTTCTGGGATGATAAAAATATTCTGAAATTAGGTAGTGACAATTGGCTACATGTGGATATACCAAAGGGGGGAAAATCCTATTATCATATATTTTGAAAGGGAACACTTATAATGTATGAATTTTATCTCCAAAAAAATACAGAAAAAGCAGGCTGGAAAAAAAAAGAAAAGGTAGAAAGTCTCTTAATGAATATGTTAACACACAAATACAACCATACATTTATCACTTCAAAAACTTTTTTTAACAGTTCTCCTGACCACAACAGACTAACTATTCTCACCATTAATAAATACGGCCTTGTCTCAAGGGCCAATCAGAGCAGAGCTTCTCTAACTTACATCACTGAACTCCAGTGGTAAACTCTCAGTGGGCTGAAGCTCAGCAGCACTCAAGTACAGATCCATGGGGCCGGCTTCCAGATCGTCTGGCACAGACAGTACCTGCTCGGGCTTATACATCTGAGGAGGCAACTGGAAGTGCAGTGGACAGCAGGGATCCTCAGAGAGGCTTACAGGAACTGGTTTGTTGCAAGGTACCTCTTCAGATCCCTGGCAGCATTTGAAGAGAACCTGATTCGTATCCTGACAAATATCTGTAGAAAAATGGTCAAGGGAAATATAACAACAACTATCGGAGGTACAAAATATAGTAGAGTTGACAATACATTTCATGCAGAAAACCAAATGCAGTTAGTAATTTTTAAAGTTACTTCTCAAAGTGAGTGGCATTTCCTAACATTTAATTCTAGCTCTACGAGTAATTTAAAACCAACAAGTCCCCAACCTCCTTTCCAGGATCCTGGTCACTTAAACTAAACATACTAATCCTGTTCTCCCCATGACAATGCTAAGCAAGTAGTAATAACACTCCTAGGAACATAAACCTACTCAGAAGAAACAAGGAATAGCAAAAGCAAATAGTTTGCAGAAGCCCCTACCAACCCCTACAATAATCAAGATATACAGTGTGGTTTCTGCTGTTAAGAAAGTAGCTTGGGTCTAGGGATACAGCTCAGTTGGTAGAGTGCCTGCCTCATATGCACAAGGCCCTGGGTTCAATCCTCAGCACCACACACACACAAAAAAAAGTGGCTAAGTTTGCAAAAAAAAAAAAAAAGAAATTGCAGGGGCTGGGGATGTGGCTCAAGCGGTAGCACGCTCTCCTGGCATGCACGCGGCCCGGGTTCGATCCTCAGCACCACATACAAAGATGTTGTGTCCGCCGAGAACTAAAAAATAAAAAAATTCTCTCTCATTCTTTCTTTAAAAAAAAAAAAAAGAAATTGCACCTTGTTTTTAATGAGAAATTCTTTTAAAATAGCACTGTATTAGGGAAAACAGAAATTCTACTATTAATATTTACTAATTAACACATCGAGAGGAAATAATAAATTTCCATGTTTGTTTTTTTTTTAAGAGGATGATAGTACATGAGAAATCCTCTCATGATCTTAAAAGGAGTAAGACAATACTGCTTATGAGGGACCATGGAAAAGTACTCCAGGAACAACACTCCAAGAGCTCTACAATAACTTTTGTTAAGGGTAAAGCAGAAAGGGCTATATTTCCAAGTTGGCAAAGAATCAAAATTTAAATCATGAGCTAGACATGGTGGTGCACATCTGTAATCCCAGCAAGAGGCTGAGGCAAGAGGATGATGAAAAGTTCAAGACCAATCTCAGAAATTATATTGAGACCCTATCCCAAAGCAAAACCCAAAAAGGACTAGAAATGTAGCTCAGTGAGCACCCCTGGATTCAATCCCCAATACCAATGTGGAGGGGGGGGAAATCATGATTAGATAATAAATTTCAAGTTCAGTTACTCTATAAAAATCTTAAAATGTGGTCATTTCCCCTAAATTAATAAACAAACATGGTTTTAAACCTGAATATTTTTAATTAGAAAATACAATTTTCTTTAAACTGATTATACCAGGATTATTAAATCATGGATAATTTTCATCTCAAATATTCTAAGATAATTTTAAAAATTAAAAACATCTATTGGGAGGCTTAGGTAGGATGATCACAAGTTCAAAGCCAGCCTCACCAACTTGGTGAGACCCTGTCTCTAAACAAAATATAAAAAGGGCTGGGGATGTGCTTAGTGGTTAAGTGCCTCTGAGTTCAATCCCCAGTATAAAAAAAAAAAAAAAAAATCTAATGTACATTATGATTTTTTAAACCAAATACACCTTCTGGAATAAAGCCATTTCTCTTTGGGCATGGTGGCACACACCAGTAATCCCAGCAACTCAGGATTACAGGAGGCAGGAGAATCTCAAATTCAAGGTCAGCCTTATTAACTTAGATCCTGACCCAAAATATAAAATAAAAAAGGCTGGAAATATAGCTCAATGGCAATGTATCCCTGGCTTCAATATCCGAGTAACAACAGTAACAAAAAAAAAAAAAAAAAAAAAACCTTTCTTTCCAACCATACTTGGAAATTGTTTAATTCTATGCCAGTAGTTTCACACTTGTGACAGTACTGGCACTATGGACTGGTAAGATGTAGATGTAGAATGTTTAGTAATATCATCCACTAGCTGTCAGTAGCATTTCCACCTCTGGCCCAACCAAAATTTTCTCCACACATTGCCAAATGGAGAACAAAACAGCCCCCTGTTGAGAAACACTACTCAAAAGGACAGTAGATAGTACAAAGTAAATATAATACTTATTGAATAAACCTAAAACCTTTATTTGCATGCTTATGAGCTTTAGAAAACCTAAAGAAATTCAATTTTATTTAAATTATTAATATTTTAAAATCTTAATTTGCTAAATATTTCAACTAGAATTTTTCCCATTTGACTTCAATGGACTTTCACAAAAGTCTCTTATCTATTTAATTCCACAATAGCCTAGAAACCACCCCCATTCTCCTCCACCGGATTTCCTTTCAGAAAGGGACAAGAGAGATAAAAAGGGAATGATTGACCTACAACTAGAGTCTGGGTCCTTCACTCAGTCCAGTGCTGTCTCCATTAGACCAGAGTAAAGAGTTAACAGGTCACCAATGGCAGTCGCATCTTTCTCTGGGATGAGGACTTAAGGAAGGGTAAGTAACTTAGGAATTATGGAAAGGAAAAGAGCATATAAGGAAAAATACTTCCTTTGTTAAATACAGTTCCTCTTCAACTTTGCTTTTTAAAATATTTATATCCTAACATACTATTTGAGTACAGCATTACTCAAAATGTCAAAAATAGTCTTTAATATCTATAAACTGGGTTTTCTCTACAAAATTCAAGTTTCCTTTTAAAAAAATTATACAGAAACAGAAAAAAGGATATTCATACCATGCAAAAATGATATTACATTCCTTCTCAGTATTTAGTACCATGCAGTTAAAACATAATCTACAGAAATCTATATCCTATTTTTCTCACTATAATTTTTCTCTTCACTCATAAATTGTTAAATGTTTAGTGCAAAAAATCTGTTGTGCCATAATCTATTTCCCTATTCCTCATCTCTAAACAAGGCTGTCTCCAATTAGACTTTGGGGTGGGGTAGGGAGACTAGGGGCTGAACTCAGGGGCACTCAACCACTGAGGATGAGCCACATCCTCAGCCCTATTTTGTATTTTATTTAGAGACAGAGTTGCTCAACACCCCTCTTTTGCTGAGGCTGGCTTTGAACTTGCAATCCTCCTGCCTCAGCTCCAAAAGCTGCTGGGATTACAGGCATGTGCCCCTGTGCCTGGCTTAGAATGTTTTTTGTTTAAGTATTTGACTGCATTTGATTATCTTCTTAAATTTCCAGGGGCAAAAACTGCCTTATCAAAGAAGAATTATTTTCGAACTGCTTCACAAAAAGYTTTTATCAATTTATATTCCAACTGAAATATAAATTTAGAAGAAGCTCAACTACTTTTGAAATTCATCCACTAATAAAAAAAAAAACTTACATTTAAAAAATTTTTTTAGTTGTACATGGACACAATATTTTTTAATTTATTTTTATGTGGTGCTGAGGAGCAAACCCAGTGCCTCACGTGTGTGCAGCAAGCACACTACAACCCCAGCCCTAAAATTTACATTTATTTTAAAATGTATGTACAAATATCAAAATTAGGTTTTAAATTTTCCTTGTTTTACTTATCTCTTCCGTTTAGAGTGAAATAAACACTAACTACAGGCCATTTCTATTAACCGTCTACAGACAACCTCTGCCCAATTATGTTTTAAGCATTTCTCTTTACTTTCTAATTACTTAGCACAGCATTTTATACATTAATGACAGTAATCCTTTATCAGACATTTACTGCAATAATTAATAAACTGGTAAAATACTTAACAATAGTAGCTGGGATATAGGCAGGTGCCATAAATGCTGGCTAAGAAAATACATATCAATTTCCAAATATTTGGTATGTCTTACAAGGCAAATGAAATCCACCAAAATTCATGTTTTTCATTTAAAGAGCATATTTAATAAGTATTTTTATGACAAAAAGTAATTTTTTCAATCAATACCTATAACCAAGATGCAATTTCAAAATCTAATAATAAAGTTTTATAGTCAAATGGTATATGTAGTCCTACAGCAGAATCAAGAGACATGATGAGATTAATTGAAAAATTAGCCCACATCTATCATTAATGATTCAAATGTTTCTTTCTAATGAATTGACCATTACATTTCCAAAGTTCTGAAATGGCCAACAGACCATAGAAAGACGTTTCTTTAGGCTCCTGCTTGAAACCAACAGCTTCAACAAACTGCTGGCCTTGATTCAGGGCCAAAGGTTCAAAGGCCTTCAATTAAGCAAATCAGCAAAGATTCTCACTAGCCCTCAACTAACTACAAAATCAGAACCCCAACAGGCAGTTTTAAAAAGATACGGGTAAGGCAGTGTCTGGTCATTGGGAGAGACTGATTGGAACAACGAACATCATCCACAAAGGCCAAGCACCTCTGACTAGAACGAGTGGTATGGGCCTAAAATGAAGAAAAAAGATAAAAAAGACAAACTCACAAAAGAACATACAACCAATTATCATAAGAATACTTAGTTATATAATAAAAGTACATCCTCAAGGCCAGAAAATTCAATATTTAATAAACTAATATTATGCAATAAAATAAAATTTAAAACCTTACATACAAAAAAATGAGTCCTCATTAATCCCAAATACCCCTTTCCAGATTATACAAGCATAAAACAGTAGTTTTATCGTCTAGAGAGGCACATATGAAAGTCTGCTTCCAGAGCTAGGAGGTTCAGGATGTTGACCTCAATCTGAAAATACCACATGGAAAACTACAGGAATAAACAATTTAAGAGTTTAGAATAATTTTTACACTTATATTGTTACTATTGTCCTATTTTATTGTGGTATTATTGTTAATCTCTTACTGAACATAATTTACAAATTAAACATTATCATAAGTATATACATATAGGAAAAAACATAACATATAGGTTCAATAGTATCTTTGGTTTCAGGCCTCCAGGTCTTAAAACATATCCCTTCACATATGAAAGCAATAGTGTATAGCTTTCAATCTAATTTGTCCTTTAGCAGCAGAATCCTTTTTAAACTGTAACCTTATTGGTAGTCAACAAATCATAGATAAGAGTGATTGCTTAACTCTTCTTATCAACCTCACTTCCTGACATGCATTTGCTCCTATTCTTCCACCTTTCTTCCCACTTTTATAAATAAATTCTCAAAATTAAAATTTAAAAATAAGACTCTTAAGCAACTTAGGCTTAATTTGTGCCTATTTCTGAAGACTCTCTGGACCAAAGAATTTTGAAATCTATCCCAACCCCTCAATTTGAATACTGAGGCCCAGAAATTAAGCTGTCTGTGCAGGCACAGAGCTAAACAGTAGAAGACCAAGACTAGAGTCCATGTTTCCTGGCCCTCAATAAGTACTTTCACTACTAATCCAGTAAGTCAGATTTCAGAGCCAGGACTAGATATAGTGTTTTGCTAATTACTCCAACTCTACAAAGTGAGTAGTATAATAGAGGTATCTTAGAGATATATAAACAAATTACCTGTTGGGCGGCACCATCTGTGGCCAGCATTCTGCGTTCCTTTAGCTGCCTGTGTAGCAAGGCTTCTACTCCATAGCGTTGGCGATACCGTCGAAGACATTTTAATCGCTTTAAGTTCTCTCGTTCTTTGGCCAAAAGTCCCTCTGGGCCAGTAAGGAGACTACTACCTAAAGAATTACAAAAGTAAAAATGTAATTCACAGAGTACCCTATCAAGAATTCTTCTACAGCTGGGCACTGTGGCACACACCTGTAATCCCAGTGGCTTGGGAGGCTGAGGCAGGAGGACTGAGTTCAAAGGCAGCCTCAGCCAAAGCGAGGCACTAAGCAACTCAGTGAGACCCTGTCTCTAAATACAAAAATAGGGTTGGGGATGTGGCTGAGTGGTAGCACCCCCGCCTCCCCCCCCACCCCCGAAAAAAAAAAGAATGCTTCAGCAAATTAACAAAAACAAAGGAAACTTAAACTCAAGATAAGCAGTTTCAACTGCATAAAACTTGCCTAAAGCTTCATGTTCCACTTTTCGATTATGTAAGTATCGACGCTTCTTCTCCTTCAGCAAATGCTGAAGTCGTTTAAACTGATCAATGTACAAAGACTGCAAACGAATCAGCTTCTCCCGCATAATCAGGGCCACTTCTTCAGCCGTGTAGACACCAGCATGTCTGGAATAAAACAAAGAATAAGAAAACACAGTAATAAAACCCAAGCTTAAAAGTAAGATAGTAAACAGGAATATTTTCACAAAATATTTTAACATTCAAGTTGTTATCAAAAGACAACAAAGCTGGGCATAGTGGTACACACCTGTAATCCCAGCGACCCAGAAGGCTAAGGCAAGAGGACTGAAAGTTCAAGGCCAGCTTTACTTGGCAATACCTCACCTCAAAAAAGGCCAAGGATGTAGTTAAGTGGTAAAGAGTCCCTGGGTTCAATTCTCAATCCTCACCAAAAAAAAAAAAGAGGCACTGGAGTTGTACCTCAGTGGTGGAAGGCTTGCCTGACATCTACAAGACCTGAGTTTAATCATCAGCACCACCAAAAAAAAGAAAGAAAAATCTCAAAGATCTCACAAAATGGGGAGAGATATTTCCTTGTTTTTCCCTGTTGAGTTTTTGTTGTTGCTCTTGGTTTGTGGTACTGGAAATTCAACCCCAGCCCTTATTATTTATGATTTTGAGACAGGATCTCACACAGTTCCTAAAGCCACACTGGAACTTAAGATCCTCCCCTCAGTCTCCCAAATCGCTGGGACTATAGGCCCCGTGCCACCACACTTAGATTGCATGTTTAAACATTAAGTTTTTTTAAAATCTACATTCTCATTTAATGACTTAATACAGAATAATCACTTACTGGTCAGGCAATGAAGAGTAACATAATATAGAATAACCACTTACAATATTCATAATATAATCGTTATAATAGGTTCTACCATTAAGTTCCAAGTTTTCAATTCTGCAAATATCTCAATGAAATTAAAAAGGTGAGCCAGGCATGGCAGCACACCTGTAATTCCAGCTCTCTGGGAGCTGACCAAGAGGACCACAGGTCTGAGGCAACCCTGAGCAACTTAGTAAGACACTGTCTCAAAATAAAAACTAAAAAGGGCTCAGTGGTAGAGTGCCTGCCTAGCATATACAGGGCTCTGGGATCAATCCTCAGTACAAATTAAGAAAATAAAAAACTGGATAGTCACATAATAATTAAACATAAGGAGATATTTAACAACTAACATTATACATATTTAACAACTATAGCCCTAAAAATGCATATATTTATTAAGAAGACATTTTTTAACTTTATTTTACTTTTTTTTAATGTGGTGCTTAGGATCCAACCCAGTGCCTCGCAAATGTAGGTAAGTGCTCTACCACTTAGCCACAACCCTAGTCCCAACATTTTTATTTTAATAATATCTCTGGGAAAATTAAAGAAAGCCTTATATTTAGTTATCTAATAGTTGAGAATGCTCAGAGCTTTATTTATCCTTTAGTATGTTTCTACTAGGAGAGACTGACAACTACCTAATACCTTTAACATTTCTGTCTTAAAGAAAATTAACTGATATTTTGATATTCGGTATCTTATGAGTAAAACTGACATGAATTTGTCCTTTAGAATCTGATCTAGACTACTATTAACAAAATCATGGGGCTGGAGATGTGGCTCAGCGGTAGCTCGCTCGCCTGGCATGCGTGCGGCCCGGGTTCGATCCTCAGCACCACATACCAACAAAGATGTTGTGTCCGCCGAGAACTAAAAAATAAATATTAAAAATTCTCTCTCTC